AGTGATAGTAGTAGTAGTAGTAGTAGTAGTAGTAGTAGTAGTAGTAGTAGTAGTAGTAGTAGTAGTAGTGGTAGTAGTAGTAGTAGTAGTAGTAGTAGTCGTAGTAGTAATAATAGTAGTAGTCGTCGTCGTCGTCGTAGTAGTAGTAGTAGTAGTAGTAGTCGTAGTAGTAGTCGTTAGTAGTAGTAGTAGTAGTGGTAGTGGTAGTCGTAGTAGTAGTAGTAGTAGCAGTAGTAGTAGTAGTAGTATAGTAGTAGTGGTAGTAGTTAGTAGTAGTAGTAGTAGTACTAGTAGTACTAGTAATACTTAGTAGTAGTAGTCGTAGTCGTTAGTCGTGTAGTAGTAGTAGTAGTAGATGAGTAGTAGTAGTAGTCGTTCCGTAGTAGTAGTAGTGGTCGTATTAGTAGTAGTAGCAGTATTAGGAGTAGTCAGTTTTTTAGGTAGTCGTAATAGTAGTAATTAGTAGTAGTAGTAGTAGGAGGAGGAGGAGGAGGAGTTAGTGACTAGTAGTAGTAGTGGAGTAGTAGTAGTAGTAGTATATAGTCGTAGTAGTAGTAGTAGTAGTGTAGTAGTAGTATAAGTAGTTCGTAGTAGTAGTAGTAGTTAGTAGTAGTAGTAGTAGTAGTAGTAGTAGTAGTAGTAGTAGTAGTAGTAGTAGTAGTAGTAGTAGTAGTAGTCGTAGTCGTAGTCGTAGTCGTAGTAGTAGTAGTAGTAGTAGTAGTAGTAGTAGTAGTAGTAGTAGTAGTACTAGTAGGAGTAGGAGTAGGAGTAGGAGTAGTAGTAGTAGTAGTAGTAGTAGTAGTAGTAGTAATAATAATACGAACAATCACATAAACATACTGATACCGGAGACATGCCCCAATCATAATATGTTTCAGGGCTAGGGTAATGGGGCTATACGGTTATAGGACCATAGGGCTAGGGCTATAGGGCTATACGAACATAGGGCTATAGGGCTACAGACAATAAGGCTATAGGGCTATAGGCCCATAAGGGCTGTAGGGATATAGGGATACAGGGCGATTGGGCTATGGGGCATAAGGACTATAGGGTTATAGGGCTATTAGGGCTGTAGGGCTATAGGGCGATAGGGCTATAGGGCTATGGGTCTATAGGTCTATAGGGATACAGGGCTATAGAGCTATAGGGCGAAAGGGCGATAGAGCACCCGGGACCCCCGGGGCACCCCGGCACCCCGGGGCACTTCCGGGCACCCTTGGGCACCTCCGGGCACCCCGGGGCACCAGGGCACCCGGGCTCCCCCGGGCACCCGCGGGCACCCCTGGGCACCCGGGCACCCGGGCGTGCGGCGAAAATCGGTAGCAAACCTAACCTAACCATATGAATCCGCTAGGACCCCTGCAGAGGCAAGCTCTGATTGAGGTCCGCGAAGATTTCTCGGATCCGCGCTGGGGCCCCCTGTGGCGGCGCCTCCGGCGCCGCCCCTGGCGCGCTCCGCGCTCCAGGAAGGGGGGTCCAGCGCCGATCCGAGAAGTCCGCGCGCATTTCCGAGTTCTTATCATTCTTCGTTCCCCTGAGCAGCTGCAGCAGTCTCCTGCGCTCCCGCGCAGCATCATCGTGAGACTTCCCCGCTCGTGCCTCCTCGTGCATCCTTCGCTCCGCTCGCCTGCGGCAGGACGACGAGAGGGTCGCGAGGCAGGTTCCATCGTCGGGCGTTGCGGCCGGGGGGGGGGTCCGAGTGGCGGGTGTATCGGGGCAGCGTCTCCCGGCGACAGCCCAGGCCCCCCAGGTCGGCCCCGAGTTGAGGGGGTCGGAGGATCGCGCCGCCTCGCCGGTGGATCTACGACGCGGCGATGCGGCTCGGCTTGGAGCCCAGTTTTCTCCACGCCAATGGCGTCGATGCATCGCCGACGTCGCCAATGCATCGCCGATGCATTGGCAATGCGGCGCGATCCTCCGATCCTATCTACTCGGACAGATTGTTGCATGCCTGCAGCCAAACAGGGAAATCATGCCTGCCCGCGTTACATTTTCGATCCTGACCCGGCAGCCTAGACGAACAAACACATATCGCATGGGTAACATTCGAATGCAACGAGAAAGCTCGCAGTGAACAAGACACTGGTTCGATTGGAAAGTAGCTCGTGCTTTCGCTCTACGGAGCGTGCTCTCTATAGCTACATTCGTTCAAACAGGCAACGCGCCTAGTAGTTAATTAATGGCGCGCGCTATCTTCTAGAGTATCTCTGTGTCCGTGCCTCTGCGGCCTGTCCTTTGCCGTTTTCACTCCCTGGCGACGCAATTTTTTCACACTGGGCGTTTTCGCTCAATTTCGAGACCGGGGACCCTCACAGATCCACCCGGCTCGAACAATAATTCAGAATGATCGGGTCCAGGGGTCTGGTCGTGATTTCCTGCGATGCCGCATTTTTTGTGCAACGTCGGATTTCAAGGCTGGTCACCCGCCGCCCCCAAAAAAACACTTCGGCCTCCAAGGGTCTTGCGTCCTTGCGACCCGTCCTTCGCGCCGACGTTCGCGCGTAAGCTTCCCGCGCAAGGTCGCGCGGAAGCGCCCTTGCTTCCAGTGTAGCGTGCCGCGCCGGCGGCCCGCGTAAGCCACCGCGCAAGGTCGCCACGCCATCTCGCGCAAGATCCGTTCTTGACCGTCGCAGCCACGTTGGGCTCCCGCTCGTTATCGCGGCCCCTATATTTACACTGGAGGCCCATGCTGAGACACACCCTGCTTGCCTCCAGGGCGCCCTGGGTTTCTTGGGCTTCGATGGCTTTGTTACGCCACAGATCCATGGACGCGCTGGGGTCTCAGGGATGGGTTTCTGGTAAAAGGTTTCAATCGAAGAAAAATCGCGCAATGAACACAATCTGTTGGCGCTTCGCGCGGATTTCTTGGATCCGCCCCTGGGCCCACCCCGCGGCGCCTCGGCGCCGCCCCTGGCGCGCTCCGCGCGCCAGGGAGGGCGGTTCCGGCGCGGATCCCAAATATCCGCGCATATCTTCAAAAGGTTATGTTTATGTTTTTTTTTTTTTGTTTCTCTGGTTTTGTGGACTGGCCTCCACCGCAGGGCTGCTTGCTGGCAGCCGCCCGACAAGACGGGGCGCGGGGGGCGGGGGCGCGGCCATGGGCAAGCGGGGCGACCGGGACCTCGAGGAGCCGACGCCGGACACCGACGAAGACGAGGAGGCGCCATGGGCCCGAGAGACGGGGGTCGCAATGCAAGCGGGGGGTTCAGTCAGTCAAGGGAGGAAAAAATACCCGGACGCGACAATTGGCGTGTGCTAGGCGTTCACTAAACAGCCCTGCCTTGTTCGGTTCCTTCTGTTTGGACGCCCGAAATGGGTACGGAAAGAATGGGCACTATGCCCAACAACAAATGTTGTCCCAAGCCAACAGCGGCCGCTGTTGGGCAGGCGGCCTTCTGTCTCGAATGGACACTGGCCGCGGCGGCGTGGACAGCGAATCCTGTTCAAAAGGAACAGGAGCTGCTGTTGGGCATTGTACCCATTCTTTCGGTACCAATTTCGAGCGTCCAGAAGATTCTGTAGGTGCGTTTACTAAACGTGTCGGGACGATCATTCTGGGGGTGGAGTTTCTGCCCTCTAGTCTTTAGTCAGAGCGCTGGACTTTGCAGGATCCTGCGGACCCAGACCCCCTCGCGTCGTGAAGAAATCTCGACGGGAGGTTTTTCCTTGCTTTTTCTGCCTCTCATGGGGGCCCCTTGCCTGGCCCCGGGAGTGTTTGACAAGCGACGCAAAATGAAAAACCGGTGTTGGGGAAGGTGTCGACCCTTCTGGGGACCCCGTATAAAAAAAAAAAAAAACAAAAAAAAAAAAAAAAAAAAAAAAAAAAAAAAAAAAAAACGGCATCGCATGTCTGGGATGGGACGCTTCGCCTGGACGGCCGAGGACCGCTCGGGAGCGTCTCGCGTCGCATGCTTGCGTGAAGGTCGATTTTGCCAACGCAGGCGGGACGGGGGCGCTTGCAGGATCCTGCAGAGCCAGGGGTGCGCTGGCCCCCAGAGGAGGCAAAGGTACCCATACGGCTACCCTGCGCCCGTTCTCCCCCCTTTCTGGGCCTTGTGGGAGGCCCTCGTCGCCACGGCTGAAGTCGCCTCGAAGCTCTGGTCCGAACGCAGGATCCTGCAGGAGCGCAGGATCCTGCAGGATCCTGCAGGATCCCCAGACCCCCGACGTCTTGATTTCTTCAAAACGTCGACCTCCAGAGGTCTGGACCCCTTCCTTGGGACTGGCTTCTGATCCCGAGCTGTTCTTTTGCGGTCCCGAGGCCCGGTAAGGGACCCAGGAGGCCGAAACGAGCGAAACACTTTCCGTCGCGATTCTCTCACCACGCGACGGGGTCTGAGCATCCTGCAGGATCCTGCAGGATCCTGCGAGGTTTGACTGACCCGGGTGTGCCTCGCGACCTGGGTCTTATAGATAGAACGCCCAGGGTTCGCTGGGGACTGGCTCCCCCCGAAAACTGCGAAAATCCTTTCAAAATCTTCCCGAAACCCTCCGAAAACCCTCCCGGGACCCGGGACCCTTCCCGGAGGGTTTGCGGAGTTTGGGGAGGGCTTCGGCTAGTTTGAAAGGAAACCCGGAGGAGGAGGAGGAGGAGGAGGAGGAGGAGGAGGAGGAGGAGGAGGGAGGAGGAGGAGGAGGAGGAGGAGGAGGAGGAGGAGGAGGAGGAGGAGGAGGAGGAGGAGGAGAGGAGGAGGAGGAGGAGGAGGAGGAGGGGAGGAGGAGGAGGAGGAGGAGAGAGGAGGAGGAGGAGGAGGAGGAGGAGGAGGAGGAGGAGGAGGAGGAGGAGGAGGAGGAGGAGGAGGAGGAGGAGGAGGAGGAGGAGGAGGAGGAGGAGGAGGAGAGGAGGAGGAGGAAAGGAGGAGGAGGAGGAGGAGGAGCCATCTGGCCCTGTAGCTCCCCGAGGAGGGCGGGCGCGGCGCCCGGCGGGGCTGCCTTCGCGTCGCGCTCTTCACCCTCGCCGCGAGCGCCCTCTCCGCGTCGCTGCTCGCCGCCACCGCCGGCGCGCTGTGGGCGCCGGAGGCGCCGGCGGCCCTTGTCGGGTCACGGGGCAGCGCAGTTCAGGCAGTGGCTTCCCAGTTTTGGACGCTCCGAAGTTGCCCGTCCCGAAGGGTCTCCTCGCTCTCCGGGTTTTGGACGGCACGAATTCAGAAGCGCTTCAGGGGCGCTTCCCAGCGACCGTCGAGCTCGCTTCGCGCGATTCTCAGCGCCTTCGCGCATGGTCGCACCCATGCGCACACAGCGTGCGGAGCAGTCCAAGGCAAGCGCGGGGAAGCGTCCTGGCTCGCCTATAGTCGGGGGCGGAAGAGAGGGGGGTGATGACTAGGGGGGGGGGGGGGGGATTTCATGGCGTGGGCCATGAGATTTCCCCAGATTTCATGGCGCCTCTTCTAATTTCATTACGTCCCTGGCCCCCCCGCTGGGCCGCGCACATGCCGCCGGTCATGATTTGCACCCCCCCCTCTTGGACACCCCCCTCTTGGCCGCTCCCGATATAGCCCTACCAAACAATGTTCTAAGAACCTTTTGTGGTGTCCACGGGATGTTCTCAGAACATTTCTGGCGGAGGTTCTGTTGTGTTCACACATCGGGATTATGTTCTAAGAGCATTATTTCTGTTCTTCGAACATTTTGGGGTTCTGAGAACATTTCGTTGTAGGACTATAGGAATCCTGGGACGGACGGTCCCTGTTCAAGGGGGGGAACCAGACGCTCTTGCGTTGTGAAAAAATCACGACGGGAGGTTTTCTCAATTTTCGGCCTCTGGAGGCCCTCACCGGGCCCCGGGACCGTCAACCAAAACGACTCAGGACGAAAAACCGGTCCCGGGGAAGGGGTCCAGACAGACCCCAGACGACGTTGTGCAAAATCCACGACGTCGGAGGTCGGGGAAGCGGGCCCTGAGGGAATCGGAAACGAAAACACACTATAAACATGTTTTTGTTGGCGCTCCGCGCGGATTTCTTGGATCCGCGCTGGGCCCCCCCCCCCGGCGGCGCCTCCTGCGCCGCCCCTAGCGCGCTCCGCGCGCCAGGGAGGGGGGTCCAGCGCCGATCCAAGAAGTCCGCGCGGAGCTCCAAGCGTGCATGCTCATGATCATTTTTCCCTCCTGGAGGAAAGGAAGGAGGGAGGGAGGGAGCGGAGGGAAGCGGTGGAGCAGGGAGGAGGGGAAGGGGGTAGGGAGTAGGGGGGGGGGGTGGGAGTGAGGACTGAGGAGGGACGGGGAAAGGCAAGAGAGGAGAGAGGAGGGAGGGGGGCGGGGGAGTCCCGATGTGTTTCGCCGTTTTCGGGCCCCTCCTCGGGGCCCTGCACGAGGAGGAGGGGGAGGAGGATGATGATGATGATGATGATGATGAGGAGGAGGAGGAGGAGGAGGAGGAGGAGGAGGAGGGTTTTCCAGGGGGGAGCGGCACGGGGGGCGCAGCCCCCCGGCGTCGTGTTTTTTTTTTTTTTCACGGCGTCGACCCCCAGAGCTCTGCCTGGACCCCTTCTCCAGTGACCGGCTTCTCATCTTGAGCCGTTTTTTTCTGACGCTCCCGGGGCCTGGCGAGGGCCCCCCGAGGCTGCAAACCGCGCCGAGCCGCCTTTTCTTTCCACCTCATCCTCGGAGTGGCTATCTTCCAGAATTCGGGGACCCACACTCCCCCCCGCTGCTTCCTCTGCTCTTCTCCTGCTTTGGCCTCGCCCTCTCGCCTCGTCGCCCTCTCTTCCGCGTCGTTCCCCTTTCGTCCGTCGCTTGCTGGAGTGTGGGTCCCTCCTCGGGGCGGGGCGGGTGCCTCGGAGGCCTGCCCGTCGCCCGCAGCGACGTGGGCTCGGCACTGGGAGGCCAGTGGGGTGTCCCCCCCAGCCCTCGAGGGGTCTCACGATTTGCGACTGCCTGGGTACGAGCACGTACGACTGGCTGCACGGCGCGCGCTACTCACGACCTCATCGCACTCGCTCGATGATCGTTCGAGGTAGGGCTCTGATTGCACGGGTTCACGCGCGGTCAGGGATCGGCACAGACCACGCGCAAGGCCGAGTCTCTCCTCCTCCTCCTCCTCCTCCTCCTCCTCCCCCTCCTCCTCCTCCTCCTCCTTTGCATGACTCGAGGGGGCCTGGGTAATTATAGGTTTCACGGGGGCAGCGCTCAGGGGGGGCGAGGGAGGGCCTGCCTCAGTGGGAGGAGGGGGTTCGTTGTTCGAGGTGCTCGGGCGTTGTTTCGTCGGTTCTCGGAGGAGGAGGAGGAGGAGGGGGAGGAGGAGGCTCGCTCAGGCCTCGGGATGCCCTTCAGCAGCTGCGCCTCGCGGGGAGGCTCTTGATGGGGGGTTGGCGTATCGACCCCTATCCGCCAGTCATCGCCAGGTGTCGGATAGCCCGTCCCGCAGGAGTGTGTTGGCTTGCTCTCGGGGCCTATCGGCGATGTATCGCCGATTCCAGCTCGACGTTCCCCCCCCCTTGGCTTGTCCCCCCCCCTGACGTTGCCTCTCAGTTCCGTGCGCTGGCGAAGGCCAACCTTCCCCAACACATTTACTGCGTCAAAGTCTAGACGCTCTGCGTAGCCCAATCAGCCCGTCCAGAAACGATGCCCAGGCGAGTTGCCCACATCAGGGATGTGGAGGAGCATGCAGTGGAAAAATAGGCTGCGGAAGCCGTCATACTCCAAGAGGGGAGGATGGACGAAGAGGAGGAGGAGGAGGAGGGGGAGGAGGAGGAGGGGGAGGAGGAGGAGGAGGAGGAGGAGGAGGAGAAGGAGGAGGAGGAGGAGGACGAGGAGGAGGAGGAGGAGGAGGAGGGGTAGCGGGAGGAGGAGGAGGAGGAGGGGAGGAGGAGTTGCCCTGCTGGCCGCCATGCGAGGTTACACCGTTCTGGACGCTCCCTTTTGTAAATTGAACTCGGGGGCCTTGCCGTTGGCCCTTGGTGGATCTCTCGACCTCATCTGGGTGGCGGGTGGGCCCTCTTGGGCTGACCCATCGGTCCTCGGGTCCGCGAGACCCAGGGACATGGTGCGCCCTTTACACTCCGCTTCGGCGCCCTGGGGGAGGAGGGATTTGTCAGCGGCCGAAGCCCAGATCGTTGGAGACGGGAACAAGCTGCACAAGGCCGCGGGGGTGCTGCATGCTGCCGCCGGCCGCGTTGGAAACCCGCGCTCCGTCCGTCGTTTCTCCCTTTCGCCTTGGCCCCCTGAAAGCTCTGGTCAGACCTGACACCGTGACAGGCTCCAGTACTGGCGCAGGGCTCATGCTTTGTACGACGGAAGAGGTCAAGCCTGAAGGCAGCGGTCGGGAGAAGGATATGTTGCTGCAGCTGCTTCCTCCTGTCCAGTCTTGCCTGCCAGACGCCCTTAATCGGTTCGTCCGCGGCCCTCCTGAGGAGGCCTGGGGGGAGCCTGACAGGACGTGGTCGTGGGCCTGAGGCGCCTCCTCTCTCCTCCCCTTGTCCCACCGTGTTTAGACGGGCAGCCATGTCACATGCCTTGAGACTTCGATTCCGATTCCGAGGAGGAGGAGGAGGAGGAGGAGGAGACGGAGACGGAGACGGAGACGGAAGTCGGAGATGGAGGATGAGGAGGAGGAGGATGAGCAGAAGGAGGAGGAGGAGGAGGAGGAGGAGGAGGGGGATGGGAGACGGGGCGGAGGAAGGAGGGAGGAGGAGGAGGAGGAATAGTCAGATGAGGAGGAGGAGGAGGAGGAATAGGCAGATGAGGAGGAGGAGGAGGAGGAGGAGGAGGAGAAATAGGCAGATGAGGAGGAGGAGGAGGAGGAGGAGCAGGAGGAGGAGGAAGAGGAGGAGGAGGAGGAGGAGGAGGAGGGAGGAGGAGGGCGAGCGGACTGGCCAGATGCTTCTTGGATGCCTCTAGGAGTCTTTTCGGGTGTCTCTTGAGAGCTATTCGGAATCCTCTTTGGGCGTCTTGGGGGCGTCTTGGCTGTCCCGGGGGCCTTTTGGAGCGTTTCCTCTCATCCAGATCCAGGGGACGAGGAAGAGGGAGAGGTCAACCCTTCCAGAAGTGGAAGACGGGGGGTTGGAGGAGGAAGCTCCTTAAACCACCTCAGACCCGGAGGGCTGGTGGGATTTCCTAGGATCGTTTTGGCAACTGTATTCGCGTCTTGTATACGGGGGGAACCAATTGATGACAACATGCGATGAGTGTGATTGTGATTATGCTGGTGATGTGCTCGCGAGCTGGTGACGACCATGACGACGATGCTGTTGACGATACGTGATGGCGGTTCTGGCGGTGACGATGCATGGCGATCGTGGTGACTGCGCCCCGCCCGCCCCGCCCGCGCGGCACGATGTCGACACGGAAGCCGACGACTTGAATGGGGAGGAACACAGCATGACGATTGCGATGATTGTAGTGCTGACGAAATTGGCGCTGCGCCCGCGAGATTTCCTCCGAACGCTGTACCCGCGCCAGTGGGCACTGCACTCGGGGCAGCCATCGGGACACCGTTCGGGACACCATCTGGGACATCATCTGGGCACCATCGGGGCACCATGGGCGCACCAGGGGGGGTACCCTCGGGACACCATCGTGACACCATCAGGACACCAGTGGCGGCCCATCCTGGCACCATCGAGGCATATCGGGACCCCATCGGGACACCATCGCGACTCCATCGGGACAACATCGGGACACCATCGAGGCACCATCGGGACACCATCGGGACACCATCGAGACGACATCGGGACACCATCGAAGCACCATCGGAACCCCCCAAGCCACCGCCAGCCAACAGGCGGGACACCGCCTTTCGGGTGATAAGGACTTCTGGCGGGTGGAGCCACCATCTCGTCCAATGGATCGCGCAATCATTATCCGATCGCCCTCACTACCGATGCCACTACCGATCTCACTATCGATGCCAGTCTAGATTTCTCTCGATCGATCTCACTACCGATCTCACTATCGAACCAACAATCAAATTCCACTTTTGATCTCACAACCGATTTCACAAACGACCACACTATCGATCTCACGATCGATCTCACGATCGATCTCAATATCGATATTCCTATCGGTGGAACTATCAAGTTTACCTTTGGCTGCATGATCGATCTCCCAATCGATCTCGTTATCTTTCTCACTATCGGTTCCACTGTCGATCTCGCTATCGCGTCGGTGTCCCGTAGTGAGATCGGTAGCTATACGACCGTCCATCGGGTGATAAGGAGGTTCGGGGGGACGGGGCAGGAAATATCGCCTCTCTCAATGGATCTCCATGTCAATCTCACGATGGATCTCACTGTCGATCTCATTATCCCGCTCACTATCGATCTCAAAATCGATATCACAATCGTTCCCACTATCGATCTCACAATCGTTCCCACTATCGATCCCACAATCGAACTCATTACCTTTTCACAATCGATCTCACTATCCATCTCACTCGATCGATCCCACTATCGATCTCACTCGATCGATCTCACGACCAGTCTCACTACGGATCTCACAATCGATATCACTATCGATCTCACAATCGTTCTCAGCATCGATCCCACATTCGATTCCCATCGATTTCACAATCTATCACACTAGCGGTCCCGCTATCGATCGCACTACCGATCTCACTATCGATCTCACTATCGATTCCACGGTCCTTCTGACTATCGATCTTACTATCTATCACCATCGATCTCACGATCAATCTCACCACGGAACATAGACGGGACACCAAGGGACACCGACGGGACACCGACGGGTCACTGGCGGGATGCTCGCGGGGGGGCGGTCTTTTGGCCCAGCGGCGCCCTAGCCAGAGGAGGGTTCCTTTTTCTCGCCCGCCCACGCAGCTTCGCCTCGCCCGCATGCGCGATACGAACATGAAACCGGAACCGATGTCCTTGTGAGGGGCTCTCTGTTTCACTGCGATCGGAGGCGAGGAGGTGAGATCGCAGTGAAACGGCGAGCCCTTCAGTGAACTCTTCTCTAGCTAGGTCGCCCGTGGGCTGAAAGACTGGCTCCCCCAGGTTGTCCCGCCGTGGTGTCCCGCCGGTGTCTCGTAGTGAGATCTATCGTGAGAGCGATAGTAAGACCGATATTGAGATCGATAGTGAATTTGATTGTGAGATCGAAGGTGAGTAAGATCGATGGGGAGATCGTTTGTGGGATCGATAGTGATGTCGATAGTGAGATCGACCGAGTGGGATCGATTGTTAGCTTGATCGTGAGAACGATAGTGATGTCC